AATGAAGGCAGTTCTGAAGGCAAAAGGGGTCCAAAACGGCACTAGCAAGGTGTACCTAATAAAGTGGCTGGTGGGTGTATATGTATATAGAAGTAATAAATAATAATGGCCATGTCGAAAAACACTTACTCACTTGTTTTAAACTCTTATTTGCAAACTGAACAACATTTACAAACGTCTTCATATATATAAAATACATAATATCAGTGCAGTAATAACTCCAGTCTTTGGTGTTGGGAACATATTGCATAATCCGATGTATCAGTACCAATGAACTGTGCTTCTGCCTCGGATCAGACTGTGCCTGAGGCAATAATTCACTCATCTAAAAATGTCACACACTCATGCTTCATTTCCTTCATAAGGATCTGTGAAGTTATTCAACAGGTTATTGCAGAACACATACAGCACGTCTTGTTTCCCCTACATGTTGCCTGTGTTTGCAGTATCATCTGACTATAGAGAATACCTTAAATTATGAAAATACATTTTACCCATGATAGTGGCATGGCTCTAGGGATGGTCGGTCCACTACTGAAAACTGAAAAATCTGTACTACCACTATTGAATGGATTGTCCTTAAAGTTTGTGCAGATATTCATGGTCCCCAGAGGATATATACAAATGACTTTGACAATCTCCTGACTTTTCCTTTAGCGCCACCACAAGATTGAAATTTTTGCAATTACTGAAATATTTCATCAAACATTGGATGAATTGGTTGTGAAATATGGTACAAAAAGCCATGGTCCCTAGAGGATAAATGGTGTTGACTTTGATCCGTCATCTGGTGCTGCTGTCCAGTGAAAACTTCATTCAGGCACTTGACACAAACTAACATACCACTAAGCCTCGGCTGTACTTTGGGTTTAGTGCAAATTAGCAAATTGTAGCATGCTAAAATAAGATGGTGAACATGATGAACACTGTTTGCTAAGCATTAGCACATTGACCCTTTTACTGTTAGTAAACAGTATGGCTTTTTGGTGTGCGGGGCTTAGCTGGTGGCAAAACAATTCTCCATGGACATTAGTTCTGTTGACTTGTTTTTGACAGTGGAGGAAGATGATACGAGTGGTGCATTCAGAAATACTCATTCGAAGTGCCAGAGCAGACTCTGGCACAAATTGGGCTGTTTGTAAATTCAGAGCGCTGTCAGAGTGTACCGTTTGGTTATCCAGAGCACCACAGTCTCGAAGTGGCAGAGCGCACGCTTGGCGCTCTGTCTGGGGAGACAGAGCAGCAGGGCGTTAAGTGGAGTGAATGTATGTTTAACTCAACTGTTCATTAATTCATATAGAAACGCAACGCTCCGTTTCTTCGACCAACAGGGCTCTCATTTTAGTGTAGAGCATCAGACTGAATTTATGAAAGCACCATGTCCGGTCACTCACTCTCCGGGACCACGAATGTTACTCTAATAAATAGTAAACACTGACCAACGGGACCAGACTGGGCGACTCGTATGCTCTCATTCAGTGGATGGATGATGTCATAGGAAGCTTTGTGGTTGATTACTATACCAACATTAGAAAGGAGGACGATACTTGAATGGTTTCCTCCAGTTTGTTTTGCTATTGAAGCTAACAGTAGCTAATGCACTAAAGGTTAGCGTTATGGAGAAATCCAATATTTCTTTTCATACCTCCCCAGTTCCTGATGAGGTGGACATGATAACCCTTAATACACATAACGTTATTCATCCCTACAACAGTAAATACTTTTCCCCTAACCTGATATGAAGTGTGTGCTGCACATGTGAGCGTATTTCATGATTGCCTCCGTCCAGTCCTTTCGTCTTATCACATTTAACCATAGTTGGCTTTGTTTTTGTTGACGAGCAGTAATGGCTAGTGTGTGATAAAATTTAAAAGCCATGACTTCTTTTAGTCTGGTTCCCAATCCCAATTCTCTTCCCTTAACCTTACCCCTTGGTTTCAAGTGCATTCTTGCACGGAGAAATCGGTAGATATTCATGTCGGCTACACACTGTAAAAAAGAAAACCTTGAGAAAACTCAAATTATCAAGGCAACATCATGATGCAATAGATTTTTGAGTTTTCTCAACTTTTGACTACTGTTGTTGACTTTACTTAGGTTTACAAGTTTAGGAAAGAGTTCTGCCAACTTGGATTTTCTTGTTCACCTAATTAAGATATTCCTGTCAGGCTAACAATGAAATTCTTGCTTCAATGCCATGCATTTCCATGTTCCATAGACACAGATTTTCTTGTTCACCTAATTAAGCTATTCCTGTCAAACAATGAAATTCTTGCTTCAATGCCATGCATTTCCACGTTCAATACACAGATTTCCTTGTTGTGTAAACATACAATTCTGAGTCTAAAACTCAGCCTTTAAGTAAAATTTATGTTGCTTTAATTGTATTTAAGAAATGCTACATAAATAAATGACTAAAAAAATAAAGAGCACACAGCTGAAGATTAGCTGAAACCAGGTTTATTGTTTCAAATAAACATCTCCTGGACATGAGGTAAGTCTGGGCTCAATGTGCAATATACACAAAGATTAAACATTTTGTCACATAACTATATTGTTGACCGTAAACAAAAGGTCCATGACTGAATATAGTGACAAATCCCACTGGGCCTCAAACACTAAATTCCAGAGCTTTATGTGAAATAGCTACTGACAATGCCTCAAACATACATACTGAAATCAGATGTGCAAGTGTAGCCATACAGTGATATTTTAAATGAGCACTTACCACAAAAGAATACACCAATTAAAAGCTGTGTAAACACTCACAATAAATTTGAACAGATAAAACACTGGTTATGTGCCTCCTGTGAAGTGGCAAATGACACAAATTTCGAAAATCTCAGAGCCAGAGGGGACATACATGCTTAAAATGACTGGCTGAATGGCTGTGAAACTTAACATGAGCACTAACCACAATGCACACGAACAGGTTAAACTAAGGTTAAAGTCATTTCTGGTTTCCCCATAAACATTCACAGCAAAAGCTTTGTTTTCAGAGATCTCGTGCGCTGTGAGCATCGAGAGCCAAGCTCGAAAAAGATAGTCTGGACTGCTTCAAAGGTATACCTCATCTGCTTAGGATATTCAATGTTCATGGCATACAGAAGGCCAAAGAGATATGCAAAAGCAGTACAGAGGTCTGGTAGGTCATGCAGAACGAAGGCCCCCTCCAACACAACAGCCACGTCTTGAAAATTTGGTGATATGGCGGCATCATCATCTTCTACGATGGTGAGGAGGGCAACAGACACACCTCTGAGCATCCTTTGTTCATGGTCAGTGTCCTGAGGAAAAGTAACAGATGCATGATTTAGTGCTAAGGAAAAGTGAAAGATAAAATTCATTTCTACTGATCTGAACTTTAACTTTAGTACCATGTTACAGACCCCTGCCATTCAGCTTGTGGAAGTTTTACAAAGATTTGTTAAAATTCATGACTCAACAGCAGCATCTATTTCAAAACACAATGACACTGTTGCTATCACCCACCAACTTTATTGTGATGAGTTTTGGATTCTTTGAAATGGAGTTGACTGAGGTACTGACATGCAACAGCTTTCAGTGTCAGTGTATTACCTAAACTAGATGGTGGTCAGCACGCTCCCAGTTTGGAGAAGCAGCCGGCTCTGCATTGATTTATTAATTAATGGATTATTTTATTCCCTGCACCACAAAGAGACCAAGCATGTGTTTGCGTGTTGCTTTCTACTCATCTTAAGAAGCATTTTCTGCCAAAGAACACCAGCAAACAAAAAGCCAGCTGTTTCAGGTTGGCTGTTGTCCCTCAGCAGAAAACGGGAGCTAAAGCCATAGAAAACTCCAACTTATGAACTTCACTGGGGGGAGGTGTTTTATTTTTCATTTTGGAGGAACTCATCCTTAAAATATCTCTAAGCATAAAATAAAATCTTTCACAAAGTGTATTATGCAAAAAATAGGATCAGCTATGAGATCATACTCTAAATGTGTAAGTTACATTAAGCAATATCGCTTGCATTTTTTTAAATCTATTTCCTGCAATTACTATTACTTACCAAACATGTCAGGAAAAACGTAGTTTCGTCATCCCGGACAAAAATGGGCAGGCCTCTCAGTGCTGCTGTCTTTCGGTGAGACACAATGTCAGATGTCTAAAGAGAATCCAGTGGAAAACACACAAGCATGTCAATTAGTATAGTGCTGCAGTGAATGAATGAAAAAAACAGAAATCCTGTATAGTAATGAGGGAAAAGCAAAGGTCAAACCCCCGTCACATGCTGAAGTAAAAAAGACAAAAACAATCCTGCAGACGATTTTACTTAATATTTTTACAAATTAAAAATAATGTACACCAAGCAATGTCGGTCAACATCCATTTACTGACACATCCACCAAAGCGTCTTTTTACTGCAGTCAATATCTTTCTGTGTCTCATGAGAAAAGTATAATAATGCTCTCCTAAGAATACCAGATAAAAGAGCGCTTATTTTTTCTACTTTTCAACTCGCCAAAAGGCGGTGGACTCCTTATGCTCGGGCCGCATTGTCCTACCTCTGTGCATGACAGCTACCTCACTGAACTGCTGTGGCTCACACATGTGGTGTCCACACAGACAGTGTTGCTGCTGCAGCACTGCTACTGCCGCGCTGCAACTGCCACCTCTATCTTTCAATTTTGAGTTTGCATAGGATATTTATGTGAGTTGTAACCAGAAGCTGCTGAACCAGAAAGCAGTGTGAACTGAAAGAAATACTGCGCTTCACCCAATTTTTTCGACATTTTGCGACATATTCTACAGATAGACATCCAAATTGTAGTAAAAGGTGTTATGTTGCTGGTATGATATTGATATGATTGTCAACAGATCATTTTGCATTTTTTGCCAAGAACCACAAAAGTCACATGACAAAAAAGGGCTGAGACCATGAATCTCTGGATAAAAGAGTCACAGCAGCCGCACAGCTTGCTGCTCAAACCTGTTAACATGGGCACCATGGTTGTGCGACCCCCATGCTTTCTCAGGTAGACAGTGTGTCCTTGCCATTAGGCTGCTGAATGTATCAAGTGCTCATGGGTTGAAAGTCAAAATAAAGGCAGGCCATTAATCCCCAAACTTGCTTGCTTTAAAAAGCAAAAGGTATATATATATGCACCTGTTCATCAAGCTTTTCCAGGAGGTCATCCATCTTCTGACCAAAAGCTCCCCTCCTAGCCTGGTACAGTCTCAGCAGGCGAGGCACATATTTGTCAAGAGATGCACCGAAAGTCCCCAGGAGGTCTTTGCCAGTGATCCGATGAAACTCTTCAGATACCTGAACAATACAAACAAATACAATACAACAATATAATACAAATACAAAACAATGTAATTTGATTGTAATAACTGTAACATCACCTACTCGTCAGCTGGTCACAAGCTGCAGGGTCTGCCACACTTGTCATGCACAATGTCTCATGCTTGCATCTTTTCCTGTGCACCCTTATGCATAATTATGTTCATTTAAATTTTTACTAAGCATGGTATTTGGTAACATGAATATTGAGGGTTGACAATTCAATACAAATCAGACCATGACACATCCATTGTTTCCAGTTAGACAGTTCCTGTAAGTGACACTCTTTAGGGTATTAAAAAACAAAAAACAAACAAGCTGGTATTAAAAATTTAGGGACTGATGGTGTAGTGGGGTGCACTGTGTTGAGGGATCTGTAGTGGTGTTTGCCAATATATCTGTTGCCCCTAACAGCAGATCCTGCATTTCTTCAATTATAGTCAAAATATAGTATAATTACTCCTGGCAAATTACACACACTGCAATGAGTATTTAAAAAAAGTGGAAAAACCTTACCTCCTCAACAGAAAACAGCGCAGGCCATCTCTCCTGGACCTCTGATACCATAGGCTGCCCTTCCACCACCTCTCTCCGCCTCAGGGAAAATGTCAGCCCCATCTTGTGCCGGATCAGTGTCATGTTCTTTTTCTTCTTCTTCATTTCGTCGACCAGAGCAACTCTTTCCTCTTCAAGAGTAGAATCATCATGGTGTTGCGGATGATCTGGGACATGATTGACCTCTCCACATTTGGGCTTTTTGAGGGTGAAAGAACTGTCATCCACATCTCCTTTTCTTTTCTTGTTTACATCTACCTCACTGCAGCCCGCCTGACGCAGCTTTGACCGGTAGTTTCCCAGTTTGTACTTGATACTTGTTTTCCATCCATCGTAGCCTGTGATGCTACCTGGCTCCTTCAGGCAGGGATACTTGAGAACCAGCGAAGAGGCAACTGATTCAAGTTCCTCTTTCTCAGGGTAGCTTTTGATCTCAAAAATTGCCTGTGCAACTTTATCCAAAATTTCCATTTTAATGTCTCTTGTCACGTCAAGTCCTTTCTTTGACTTTTCGTATGTCTCATTGCCCTTGCGCAATTTTAGCTCAACATCGTATGAGAACTTAGGGATAGGAAATGGTGAGGGCCACTCAGTGACATGCCTTAAATTGCTCTGGGTAGAATCTGTATAGCTGGAGCTGAAATAATCAGAGTGAACACTGGCTGTATCAAGAGAAGAGACTGAACCAGTGGAATGGTCACTGGATTGGTTAAGTAGAGATGAATCACAGTCCCACATAATATGCAGGACTGCACGCTCAGATGGTAATTCAGACATTGCTGTCAAGTTGCAGAGTGCATTTCCAAAATCTGGATCCTCAAATTGTAGTGAAAAATCACCTTCAAGTTCAAGTCTCTCCTTAAGCACATTAATCAGTTGGCCCACAGATTCTGGTACTTCAGGAAGCTGGATTCGCCGAGCTTCTTTGGGGGAGACAACTACCCGAAGTAACAAAGTCTGAAAAGAGCAGAGAAAAAGAGGGAAAATAAACAGTTAAACTTGATTAGAAAACATTTGACACCTATTACATAGCCTGCAAATGAGGACCTTTTTTTTTTTTTAAAAATTTATCGAAGTTTGATTTGCTAATAATTTAATCGCCAAGTGTGGAAAAATAAAGCCAAAGTCTAAAGTCATAAGAGCCAAAAGTGATTTGGGCTAAGGAAGTCATTTGAATGTCTTCCAAATCATGCATTCATAACTTACTGAAGTAAAAGTATGTAAGTATAATGAGCAAAATGTATTGTTAGTATTTCAAGTTTAAGTACGCATTCTGCAGGACAATGTTCCTTGTCAGTGTTCTTCTATTATATCTGCTGTTTCTGGATTAAAGTTACTACTGTTTATAGCTTTGTGACAGTGCATTTTCTCCCTAATCCAAAAGGGTTTTAAATAGTTTCGCTTCAGGAGGAGGAGAATTTCCTCAACCCATAAAGGAACACTTCATCCTTCAGTTTATCACAAACATTTAAAATCAAAATCACCAAATTTGGAGATACATGGTTTTCACTGGACAGAAAGGATATGAAAAATTGTAATCTAAAAGTAACTAGTAACTACACCTGTCAAACAAATGTAGTGGAGTGAAAAGCACAATATTTGCTTCAGATATTGTCGGGTAGAAGTATAAAATTGTATAGAATGGAAGTACTCAAGTATCTCCAATTTGTACACATGTACAGTATTTGAGTAAATGTACTTATTTACATTCTACCACTAGATTTGAACAAACAAAAGGAAAACAATCGTAGCATGTTAGTGAAGATGGAATCAGTAAATGTATGGCATTTTTACTTGATAAATCACCAATACAATCAATTATCAAAATAATGCATCTATTTTGACTAAAATAATAAAGTTTCAGCAAATATGCGATCAAAGTTTTAGCACCACTATAATGTAAAACTTTCAATTTAATAGTAATGTTCAAATTAAATAAGATTGTTCTTCACTGAACCCTTTTTCAGTGTTAACAACATACCATTTTGAGTCTCTTTAATGGAGAAGGAATGTCCTAGTGGTCACCATCACCCTTCCACCAACTGTGTATGCTGCAAGAGGGTGGTAATCCGTCAGCACATCTGGATCCAGGAGTACAATTTCTGCAGAGTGGTGTTCAACAAGCTCAAAGGACCTGAAATGTTCAATGTACCAGGAAGAGAGTCTTTTACAAATGAAGGTCACTTCCCCTGCATTGACAAGAATGTTCACAATCTTATAGAAATCTGGGAGGCCACTGCACTGCCCAGCAGATAAAATCATGCCTGCCGCATACTGTGTTCCATGCAGGAGGATCGTTTTTGACAGAGACACACTGTCTAGATGGGGGTACTTCTTTTGTACTTCACACTTCAGTGGTGTATCAATCCAAAGTCTGGGAAGGTACTGGTAAGCAACTTGCGATGATCCAGTAGTTTACAAGATAAATAACACAATGCTTCCTCTGAGAGTCTGTTTGACACAACAATGTCAACAATTTCCTTAAGGTCCATTAAAATGTCCCATGCAGGCTCCTGCTCTGGTATTTTACATCCAATCATAAAAGGAAGTAAGCGCAGCAATGCCCAATTTTCATGTCCATTACCGCCAACAGTTCCTTTTTCAAAACTCGCTTTTGGAATTTTATGTGGTTTGTTTACTCTGTCCGAATACCTGTAGGGAAATGACTTTATGCGGTCATTTAATGCATCAAATGTGATGAAACCTTTTGAGATCAAATTTTTCAAACACAAGGACAATTCTACAGGGATGACCCCTTCAAAAAAGTCATGCAAAACATCCGGAGGAAATCCAGTTATTGGGATGAAAGAACAGTAGATGTTTGCTAAGTACACATTCTCTTTTTATCCCATTAATGCTTTGGAGGTTGTCATTTTCCCTAAGCTCTTCCAAAAAACTGCTGTGTTGATCAATTTGGAATTTGCAATTTGGTTCCGACTTATCAAACAAAACCGACAGAACTTGTCAACAGTAAAACTTTCAGAAAAGCCTGCAAGACCATGTGCTGCAAGGTTATCTGCACACACACAAAATGTAGTACCCTTAACAAATTGACCTAGAACTTCAACAAAAATTCCCTCTTCTTCTAGACACCTTATGTCTTTTATTAGTGGCTCAAGAAACTTTTCATAACCATATTGCTTGACATCCACACTTTTACCCAACAGAGCAAGCTGAATTGAAGTTAGACTTGATCGGAACCTGGCTGGTAAATTTAGAACAACCCAATATACTGCAGTTATTTTATGAAGTTTTCTAGAGGTGCCCAGGGGGTTACAAACTTCAAAATCATCAATATACAATGCCAAACTGATACATGTGTTTTGCTGTCCTAGTAGCTTGTTGTCCTTGTAATACCTGCCATCTTGAAAAGACTTAAAGTGTCCAGATAAAGATTCTTGATCAAATACAATTTGGTCCAAAAAATCTGCCCGTTCTAGTAAATTCTCAAGTACCTTAGTGACAGATATATAAACAAAAGCATTTTTATGGGCTGTGTTATAAAGATATTCTGTGGGTTCGATAACAGAAAAGTGTTCCTTGAAATATAAGTGTCTTCGGTGATCTGTAGATAGGGAACCTTTCTCTGATGTTGTTAAAAGTAGTGGATTAGTTTGGACTATAGCATTAGAAATTTCTTGCAAAACAGAATCATTTGTTTCAATGTTATGTTTTGATAGGATATCTTTGACACTGTTGAGAGTCTGAATGCTAGAAAAAGACAACAGGTCATGCAAATCCTCTACAATCGTTTGGGTTGCACCTCTAGAAACATGTAACACTGTTTGCATATAAAGAAAGAGAGAAGCCAATTTGTGCTTAAGTGTCTCACTATCTACATGCTCCACAATCTCTTCAACCTCATCTGGTCTCACACTATGCTGTGATGATGTCCCTGCTTCACAGTCAGATTCTTCACCATTATTTGCCTCATATTCTGTATCAGCTCTTTCTATTGTTTGAAAATCCTTAAGTGTACAAGTTTTATGGTTTCGACTTCTGTGAGAACTGAAGGTTGAGCGAGTGTTTGTTTTAAAGGTACACCTTAGAAAGGGACATTGTACAGTTTCTCTGTTCTTTAAATGATGTCCAAGATGGTTCAAAAAAGTTTTTTCACTGCAAATCTCTTTAAAATCACACAATTCACATTGAAATGTTAAATTTTCGTGGATTTTCAAAGTTGTGTGTGATCTTGAGAGGTGTGACCTTAATGTGCCAGGTGTTTTAAATACACATACACAGTCTGTGTGAATACAAGGCCAGTATGCGCCTTTACCGTGACGAAGGCGACAATGTTTTAAAAGAGTCTCTTGACAGGAGCTGGCAAACTTGCAAAACTTGTACTGCATGCAATTCACCCCTGAAACACAAAAGACACATATAGGACATATTCAGTTTTGCTTAAATCATTTTTGCTGCAGACCCTGTAATAAATGACACAATACAGCTCTATTTCATCAACATCTGACATATCCCATTGAAGCCATAACTACTCTTTCCACACAGGGAAAGATGAAATGCAAAATGACCAAACTTAAAGGGATTCAAAGTGGGGTTGTATGAAGTACTTATCTATAGTCAGTGTATTACCTACAGTAGATGGCAGTTTGTAGAAGCAGCGGGAGTACTGGTTTAGTAAACTAACCAATGTACTGCTGTGGACAGGGTCAGCAGCAAAACATACTTTAAACACCACAAAAAAAGGAAAGTGGTGAAAATATTCTAAATATAACATACACTTACATACACTCTGTGCTGGTACTCCTCTCTACTTCTCCAAACTGGGTCCTGCTGACCACCATCTACTGTAGGTAATGCGCTGACTATGGATAAGTATCTCATACACTTCAAATAATCCAGATTTTAAAACCTGAAAATGTTGATGGGTCAGACATTTGTGTGTGTGCGCGTCTGAATGTGTGTGCTGTGAGGAGGTCTGCCCTGACATGCAGAGAGCGGGAGAGAGGCTGCTTCATGATGATACAAGAAAACTTAACTTTAAAATGTAACGTTAACGCCGATAACGGCGGAGCTTAGAATCACGGTCTTGATTAAATTTGCCTCGCGCTGTTCAATACCGGGTCTCGGTACCAATCCTGCCCGAGCCACTCAGAGGTTGCTTCAGTGCTGCATGTGGCCCGCGAGCCGCTAATAGAATAGGCCGGCTGTATTGACAGCAGAGTCGCTGCACAACATATGCCCCCACACCCCAAAAAAATAGTTTTCGGCGCACATGTGGATCATTTCTCTCCCCTAACAAATCCTTTTAACAGTATTGTGTAACACAATTATCTCTGGAGGTAACTGTGTGTAACGTTACAACGCCAACACCATACCAGCTTAGCTAACAAGGCAAAACTTTGGTAATTGAACGACGTGAATCAAACTTTCAGTTGAAATACCACAGCACACGGTTACATTTCTTATCTAGTTGCAAAAAAACCACACTTACCTGTGAAGGCTTAATAGTT